CGGTGCCTCAGATCAGCAGATCAGCTTCTTCTGGAGGCACCGAGGGCCAGGCGGAAAACTAGGGGGGATAGAGCCTTTGCTGTGGTGGGTCCAAACCTATGGAATGCGTTGCCGTTTTATATTAGGCAGGCCCCCTCACTGTCTACTTTTAAGTCTTATCTGAAGACATACTTGTATTCATTGGCGTTTGACCAGGAATGAGACTCTGTCTGTAGTGTTAGTGTTTATATTACTGTTTATAGCTTTTTATGTGTGTTTTTTTTTTTTATATTTGTATGATATGCTAAGTGCTTTGGTCAGCTGTGCTGTGGTAAAGCGCTATATAAATAAAGTTGAGTTGAGTTGAGATGATAGGTAAGAGGCTACAGCAGCCTCCTTTGGTCTAACATGAGACACAGGGCTCCCCCTGCTGCCAGTGCTATTGACAACTTTCCTGTACTGTTTGGGGTGATACTGCAATTGTTAAGCATTATTATGGCTTTATTATTAAACGTCTGTAGTACTCATGTCATGCTTTCTTTCATTTTTCTCGAGAATTTTTTTTTTTTGTTTTGCCTCTGTACCTTCTCTTTTGTGGGTTTTTCCTTTCAGATATGATATTGTCATTGTAGATTATCTTTGAGTTTGGTACAGTAGTGGCTGCTTGTCTCATGTATGCATTCTTTTTTTTCCTTAACATGCAGAGTATTGTAGATAAGGCATCAAAGATGAACACCGTTTTGTTTTTGTTAAATATAGATCAATGTGCTACAATCCAAGAGAAGATCAGAAGTCCTGAAATCGGTAAATACATTTTTTACTACATCAAATGACCATACATCATTCCCTTTGGGGCTTTGACTAATTGCCGTCTTCTTTACAGATGCTGTCCTTCATGTATGCCCACTTGACATTCTTTCACCAAGGATATGACCTCTTCAGTGAGCTACAACCTCTTATGAAACACCTTGGTGGACAGGTACAGGCAGCAACTTGCACACATGCACATACATCCCAGTCATCTAAACACAAGCTGTTTTCAGTAAGGTCACTGTGTTTGTGTTGTTATTCCAGCTTTTCTAGACTGTTGTCAAAATACAAGAATAGTAAATTAGCCCTGCCTGCCTCCTAGCGAAGGTTATAAAAAGTGCATTTTGAACCGTGGGCACTCATTTCTAACAGCCAGCCATGGAAGACCTCTCAGCAGCTAAAAGTCAGATACAGTGGCTGCCAGACTGAAGAGGTGGCATTCTTTTGAACAAAGAAACAGAAAAAAATCAGGGTTAGAGATGAAGAGCATGAAAAACAGTCAAAAGGCTCCCATTTATTTCTGATGTGGCGTTCTTCCAACTGGATGCCTTAGCATCTAAAGCTAATGTGTTTGTTTTGGTAACACCAGCAGCGTAGTATGGTCATGAGCTTAGCTTTATTTTTAATTACCGTAACATGATTATAATTTTGGAGTAATTTTTGAGCTTTGTGTAACATTAGTGCTTTATATCACATTAGCAGTAACCAGAGCGTCCTACTAGATTGCCACATTTATTCATTATTCAGCTAATGCTAGCTTCAGACTGGAGATTGCATTTTATACAGTTTGTCGCAACCAGGCATCCATAGTTTACGTTGTCACTAGGAAAATGGATCTGAAAAAGGGCAAAGAGTGGTTAGGAGTAACTTATGGTGGTGGCTTTTTTGAGCCTCACTAGACATTCTAGACTAAAAAGAAAGTTGGCAGAGTAGCTTTAAATCTAAATGGCATTATGTCTTGAGCTTGAAAGCAAATCTTGACCTATTCTAATTTTGAATCCTGAACTTGTATACACAGAGAGAAATGAACAAAAGCAAGCAGGTGTGTAATAAGTTAACAGTTTTATAATAAAGTGAAAACAAATGTAATATCACTTTTTATCGCAGGTAAATCGAGACATAAGAGTTATGTCATACTCTTAATTAAAGTAATAAGTGATTATGTGCATTAAAAGTTACCCATTTATTTTCCTACAAACTTATCATTAATCAGCGCTATAAAAAATATATCACTCATGAACTAGTCTTTGTGTTATATTGATGTAAAATATCATGTTTTTACATCACACAACTATTCAGTTACTGTTTCACAGCCTGTCTGGATATTTTAAGATTCAGTCTTTGTCAGAAGGAGAAGGTGTTGAAAACCACTGTCAGCTGGGAAAGTGATTCGGATGGCCTAAAATTCATGTATATTTTCCTTATTATTTTAATATTTCTTGCAAAAACATATACTGCACTGGTCCTGGACAACACTTCTGTCAGATCATACAGTAAACACAGGCAACGTAAGCAAACATTAAGCTATTATCAGTGGAATAATGGAATAAGTGTTAGCTAAGTTTACATACCAGTGCATTGTTGTGCGTAAACCCCTGATTAGTCGAGGACAATATTGTTTGATTGCGTAAATAGTGTTTCTATTCAGTTCCTCATCTAAAATTGGAGGAATACAGTGAAGGAATTCTCTGAAATTGTAGATAAGTGGCCCTGGGTTTGCACTGCCATCATTAAGGAGCAGTACAACCGCACTTCTGCCGTCACCTCTAGATGGATTCTCCCTTTCACCATGTGTGTTCCTATCTTGTCAGTGTGTGTGCACTGCTGTCTCTTCGTCAGCTGATGTTTCAGATCAGCTCCCTGAGGGTTTGTATGCATACTCTGATAAACCTTCCCTCTGAGCCAGAGGATGAGCTGGTTGTTTCTTGAGTATCACAGTGGAGCTGCTGTTAGTGAGGAATGAGGAAGAAAGCAGCCAGAGGGCTGGAAAAGGGTTTTCCCAGAATCAGATTCACACAGTCAGCTGATTGACAGTCAGCTGAGTGGACACAGCAAAGAAACCCCAGACTGATACGGAAGGATGTGGAATATGAAGTGGTGGCTCTGAGGTTGGAGCAGTAGAGGATGACATTTCTTAAAAGTGGGCGCAAGGCCAAGGAAGAAAGGAGTCCAAGCACAGAGGGGTGGGTTGAGGAGGAGCAGAGTAGTAGTGTGCACTTCTGAAGAGCAAAGTGTAGCTTGGAAATGTATTTTTCTGATGTTTGAAACAGCAAACACTTGTGTGTTATGTTTGACAAAAAGGAAGGCAGACCTGAAGAATTTGAACAGTAGCCCTGAAAACTGGATCTGAGAGAAGAGTGTGGTTTCTAAACCTCATACTCTGAATTTGGAAACATCTGACATTGGTGCCATCAAGAAAGTGACCAAAGAGTGCTGGGAACAGAAAAGGAAGAATACAGGCCCCACTTTTAAAAAAATCAGATTTTAGGAGGGGATAATAGGCAGAATGTGATCTTTTCAAAGCAAGAAGTGATTGAAGCAGAACAGGCATGGACTCATAGCCTGTGACTTCAGAAAGACTTGGACAAGAGGACTGTGGACTATTTATTTTCTTCTCTCCATCATGAAGCTGAAGAAGGTGGAGAGGCTGTGCAGGGAGGTGTGGAGGAGCTGTCAACAGGTCTGAGAATATGCCTTGATGCCGTTAACCAATGAGGAAGTAATCAAGGGTGGGGACATTAACTGCTATAACATTAATGCATTCTGCAGTTTGGTTTTGGAGTGAAAACATGATAGAAGTGGGAGGTAGGTGACTGGTTTCCTACCCTGCCCTGGAATCAGAGCTATGTAAGGTATAGAGTGTAGGGGTGGTAAGTGGTCTTGCATGATAATCTTAACAGTGTTGCTAGTTGCATGAGAACAAAAAACAGACATTTAAAATTACCCAGCAGCTTTTAGAAACACACATGATGAAAAAGGGTCAAAAAAGTGAAGATGGGTTTTACTTGGTAGCTGCATAAAGCCAGAGTTGTATAATGCTGTTTGTGTTTGTTTGAGAATGAGTTGGAGCTGATTTGTGGCTGTAATTGATAGAGACACTTACAGTAGGGTGGACGACAAGCCACTTAAACAGTGAAGCATTATCAGATGTCCTGTTACCCTGTTATCGGACATGATGAGCTAAGAATTCTGTTTTTAAAATTCCATTTAAAAAGTGACTAAATGACAGCTTCATGTCAAATATGACGGTTTTTCCACCTTTGCTGTCGGAAACCATTATACTGCCTCTAAATGTAATACTTTGCTGCAGTGTTCCATGACACGCTGCCTCTGGACTGTACACATGCATCATGAACATATTTAGTCAAAGGGAAATGTTGTGCCTTTTCAGTGAGTCATGCAACTTGTTATCATACTTATGTGTCAAGACAGTGATTGGCCAAAACATTTCCTTGCAGTGGTCTGTTCGTGACAAACACAGATAGAATGAAATGTTTGAGGTGATTGTCTCTGTTGACAGTGTCAGTGCTGCACAGTCAAATAGATAAGATGTTAAAGGTAAGGGGAGTCACACACAACACAAAGCTGCTTTTACAGAGGCAGATGGGAGCAGATAGAAGGCATGGACTAGACTAGTTGTTATGGTGCGGCAGGGAAAAGCATTTTCCCGCTGATGTTATCAAGCTGCTGCTTTGCCATCCACCCGTTTCCTCTCTAAACAAAGCAAAAGACCCGGTTTGCTTAAGTGCTGTCTTCTCTGAAATGATCTGATAGCAGCGTTTTCATGTTTGGCTCTGCAGTAAAATTTTGTGATAGAAGACACTGAGTTTCATGATAAGAAGAATGAATTTTCTGCTGAATGTTTTTGCTGTTAAAAGGTAAAATCCAAAATTTTCTGAGCTATCAGATACAGTAGGAAGTAAAATGTTAGTTCCACCCTCCTCTATCCCATCTCGTTAGGCAGAAGCCCAATTCAAATGTTTCATCATATAACTAATACTATATTTGCCAGTTTTAAAGAAGTCAATGAGTTTATGACATGCACTGCATAAACAGGGTGACACAGAGACTTGATAGTGATTTCAGCTTTAAATTGCAACAATAAGAGTTCTAAGGTAGTTCAGTGATAATTAGTGAAATTGTGATGCTTGTCAATATTAAAGAATGAAAATAAAAACAATGACTAATCATTGCCTTAAAAACTACAGAATACATTTTTTGTGCTTTCACATTAGTCTTATTTTATATTATGCAGCATGATATGTGCATTCATTTCTCAGAATGTGTTGTTCTGGAGTACTTGGCATGCTTTGCCTCAGTGAGCACTGGTGGGGGGGGGGACCACTGTGCAGCAGCAGTGTCCCTGGCCAGGAGTAAATAAGGAGTACAGCCAACGTTGGCTGAAGAAAGCACTACCTGTGTCACATTTTTACACAAAATAATTTGATTGTTAACAATGTATGGTTTATTATTTCATAGAACTAGGGGTTTAAATTATTACTTTACCTCTCTGTCTGTGCCCCAGCCTCACCACCCCATCCAAAAGTTTATAGAACTGCACATTGCAGCAACAGCCTCTCTAGAGATAGAGTAGAAATGAACTCTTATAAGGCAAACCTGCACATTTTCAGCGACAACCTATGACCCTCAGCACTTAACTGAAGTCTTTTTTTAATTTATTGCTTTTTTTCCTCTGCTTCGAAGGCCCTTTTGTCTTCCTCTCTACGTGCAGCAGATTCTTCCTTAGATGAGAAGAACTGGTCACCCCCCATCTAATTTCATATATGAACAAACCTCCATAGCACAGTCCGTTGTGATTAGTGTAGAAAATGTCTTGTTTGATGTGGCCTGTGGAAAAGTTGATAATTTGACATAATTTTGTTCTCAAGATTGGAAATGGAAATAAAGTACTGGTGCACACAGGCGTACACAAATCTGTTCACTTTAATGTCCAAGCATTAGACTTTGACTGTTATACCACTTACTTTGTCTGTTTTTTCTGTCAAGACCAAGAATGTAACAAGTTCATATTTTACCTCGAATAAGTATGTATACATGTAGACGAAGCAAAACATTTTGTCTTGTGTTTCAGTTGTGTGCCACTCCGTAATTTACTGGGCTTTGTAATAACATCTTAGAGGATGTCTCTGAAATGTGCATGTTGTTTTTGAATGTGAAATGTGTGTGACCAGGTAGTTTGGTAAGCTTGACTAATGAGCTGTTCTTTCTTTCGCAGCTGGACCAGCTGGTGGTGGATGCTGCCAAAGAGAAGCGGGACATGGAGCAGAAACACTCCACCATCCAGCAAAAGGTGCACAAATATACAAAACATATCAAACTAAAGTAGCATCGTCGTCACACTTTAGCACTAGGCACACAAATCACAGTGCAACATAACTGGGTGCACAATGTGAGTAAAAATAATGAATGAGCACTTGATCATCCTCACCTCTGTCCAGCCACCTGAACAACGCAGAAACATAAATGCTCTGTGTGTGCTCAGTGTGACCAAGGTACTCTGAGCCTTCCTTCGTGTGTACCAACGTTATGGATGTCAGATCCTCTTGTCTTTGACCACAAAGCCTTTACTTATTGCACCCAGGCCTCCTCCCATTAAAAGTAAACACACAGTACTCTGTTGAGATCTTGGAGGACTTATCTGTTACCCTGCAACCAGATGCTCTTAGTCCCCTGATCACAGTGCCCCTCACTGCCATCGCTGTTCTCCTGCAGTGAACTTTGTGAGCACTGCGCTGCCAGAGCCGGGCCCACCATGGTGAAATATTACAAGGTTGTTGTTAGTTAATTATTATTATTCTAAAGAAAATCTGTCATATGCAATTGAAAGAAATGTTGCTCATAAAATAATTACCCCAAGGAAGCCACATTTGAATGAATGGAGGTAGTATTTCACCGTCACGTGAAAGGTGATCCCTCAGTCAAACACCTGTGCATTATTGACAGCTGACGGAAACTAGTTTCCAGACAAATAAGGTTGGGTTTCAGCATGCTCCTGTTTCTGCCGAGCACCCTGACAACCCTAATATCACCAATGAGTCACACTTTTAACATATTTAATATAAATTTAATCATCTGCCCTACAATTTTGATTTCATGAATGTTTCATGACTAAGAATTGATGCCATAAGCTTCTGTTAAGTTTGAGCATTTAACTCTTTAAAGCTTTATGAACCCTCAGAAGAATGAAAGTTAAGCAGGATGTGGGCAGTTAAGTTACATTATGTGGTGTAGTACAGTACGTTGCCCTTAGCTTTAATTGTACATCAGACAGCTTCATTATCTCCAGACAACACCTGTCAGCTCTTTACCCAGCTGTTCTAGGGCCTCTGTCCGTGATGTTCATGTCAGTGTCCAGCTGTCTGCAGGTATAGCTTCTCTGAGATGTCTTTTTTTTATGTCCTTTTTTATTTCTCTTTCCTTCTGTAATTTTCACATTTTTTGTCCCCGTCTGTATATTTCTTTTGTCTTGCACGCTCTCTCTCCTGCTCAGTCAGTGATGGCATACTATGTGCCAACTTCTGCTTGTCCCTGAGCACCTGTCATACACTTCCCCTCCCTCAGTTTATGTAGATGCTATTTTTATGTTGCCTCACTCCCACTTGTCTCTCTCGTCTGGCTGTTTTTACACAGACTCTCCTAACCAACTGTTTTTCTTTACTTCTCTACTCTTTGTTCCTCTCCTACTCACTTCAGGCTGCTCTGCAGGTAAGCTGTGTTTCTCTTATTTTTTTCCCCCCTCATTGTCTTTCCTGTGTCGTGCCTGCATGGTTATATACAGTAGATATAGTACTTTTCGCTGTCTCTGTTCAAACTGCACTGAGAGATGAGTGAGCAGGTTCATCACAAGATTAAACTGGCAGCATGTGTGGTATGATGCCATTTAAAGATTTCAGTTGTTATATGGGTCCTTGTGCCTTTTCCAGTTCGTGTATGCTGAAGTCAACCTCAGTTCATTTAATAAATTGAGACTGTTTTAATACCGTTATGCCTTAACAGCTCACAACTTACTGTACTTATGCTGCTTGTTTTGTGCTCAGTAATTCACAGATGTTAAACCAACTGAAGTATACATGATACTGGCTAACTTAGGACAGGAATGAAAGACTTGATCACATTTATGTTCAGTTTTCTTGCATTTTCCAGTTAAATGAAGTGAAGCCTGCTGTTAGTTGACAGTGTAAATTATACAGCTTAAAAACAAAGTGAAAAACCAATGTATTGCACTGGTGTATTTATGTCAGAAATGGGAAAAGGTGACACTTGTTGTCAAGATGATCTGGTAACACTTCACAGTGGCTTGACTCTGGCACATTAACCCGTGCTCTACGGCACAACATTGCTGTATTACTTAAATATCCCTGACATTAATATTTCCCAAATAACAATGGGTTAAAGTGAGTGGTCACATTTGGGTTTAGCATCTTTTTAAAATACACTTCAACAGGTCTGTATGTATGTTCAATCTGTATGTAGACTTGAGGTTACGATACTACTAGGCCTGTCTAATCTGTACTGGCCTTATTGTCAAGGGTCATTTGCACCAACATTACCAAAACAGACTTCTAAACATGTCTCTGACACCTCCTCTTGTCTTTGTAGTTTTATTGGTGATGCAGGCTGTTTACATGTGGTGTTCTCCTCATTACTTTCTCCTGTTGTGAAACTGCACTGTTTCGTTTATATCTGAGTTTACACCAGAATGTGTCTTGAAAGCCACAAGTCTTGTAAAGCAAATGGTGAATTGTTAGCTCTATATGTCATTTGACAATTAAACATTGCTCCTTCATGATAGTTTTATTTTTAATTCCTGTGCATACTGTACACTTTTATTTGATGAAACCTTCATCTTTGTGTGATGTGAAGGGGTTCCTGAGGTTGTGTTTAGTGTGCTTCCTGTCTGTCTGTATGCACAATGACAAGCTGCACTGTGACCATGGGGCATGAGTGTCAAAATGGTACCATTGGAGAGAAAGGCTCAAAAGATTTTTTTATTTCCTAATGAAACAAAGTACATTTCACTGGTTTTTAAAACAGCCATTAACGGTTTTTCCTGTGATGATAAGAGTCCCTTAACAATATGTGTTAAAGGGATAACGCCATAGACATTCATCCTGGTGAAAGGATTGGCTCCTTTAGTAACACATGAGGCAGCTGAGGGAGAGTGAGGGGAAAAGCTGAGTGCACATTGGTTAAACTGAATGTTTGATACCTGAGCACTCCTGTACAGTCCATGTTTTTATTGTAACCCAACAGCCACACCAGCATCTCTCTCTCTCTCTCACACACACACACACACACACACACACACACAGCTGATCTTTGCTTAGGAGGAGGAGCACCTGAGTCTGTGACGAAAGATTTGATAGACACACAGACATGGGCACAGGAGAGGAGGAAGTGAGAGTTTGTTAAAGAGACAGGCCACGCTGCTCATAGTGTTAGACTCATTTAGATGCAAAACAGGAAGACTTTTAGATATTGGCCTCACAGGGAAACATTCAAGGTGGGACACGGTCCATAACATTGATGAAAAATGAGGATTTTCAGCCGTTTCCACTACGTCTGGTATCTGGTGAGTGGACCTAGAGTGGTCTAACCTAGAGCATGTGTACTGTATGTCCATGCCTGCAACAGTATCTCTGTAAATATCACTATTTATAATACTAGTATGTGCTTTTGCATGTTTCATTTTTGTTTTTATTCCATTTTTGACAAATCCATGATAATGTAACATTTCTTCATGTTGGAATAAGGATATACATGTTTATTTTCTTTGAATGTCATTCTCTTGCTGTGCGTGATGTTTTAGAAGGTGACAGAGCTTGAGTCCTTACCAAACTACTGCAGCTTTTGTTCTTGGAGGTTGGCCTTTGTACATAGTCACTGCATCAATTTGCACTGTTCTTGGAGGTTGGCCTCTGTACATAGTCACTGCATCAATTTGCACCTAACTTCCATTCTGTAAACCTACCTGCCTCTGTCTTTCAAGAGACTGCACTGTAGTGTTTGTTTGCACTTTCATTTGTTTCCTCATTTTAGAATATTATACACACAGAAGTCCTGATGTGTCTTAATTCTGTAGTATTCTTTATTTGATGCCTCATTGTTGGTTTGTTGCTTTGAGGCCAATTGCTGAAAAGCTTGCCCCAGTGATGTATATGTAACAGGGTTGAAAATGGTTTCTCAGGCCTAAGTGGTCACAGAAAGGTCTCAACCCATAGTTGAAACACAAGGACCAGAAAGGTTTTCATGTGACAGCATTAGTGTGTGACAGCGACAGTGCTGCACTATGCATGCTTTTTTTTTCAACTTAGGCTTATTTAGAGATTGTTTGTCCATGTGTGTGAGTGAATGCAGTGTATCAGAGTGGCCAGTGTCCTATTTCTCTGGCCTCAGCTGAATTTTGTTTTTGTGTAGTACTTTGTAGTTTTTCAGGTATTTGTTTGAGTTATGTGGCGCTACTATGAGGTTAATTTTGTCCCACTGCCTCGACTAATATATCCCATTGTCTTTCTGTTCAGAAGCTTCATAGAGATGCATAGACAGATTTTGTTCCCCTTATGCACAAAATAATCTCACTTGCTCCAGTGTATGTCATGCAGGATTTGTGTTTATGTACAGTACATGTGTGTTACTGCATTCATCTGACACGATGGTATCGTAGGGCAGAGGAGTTTAACTTGTGAAGCTTTTGTTCAGCTTATATTTATAGATCTTGGCAATGATAGCGGAGAAAAAACAGACTGATGAAGCGCACAGTCAGTGCACTCCTCTGTCAAAAACACACGCAGTAAATCAAATGCTCAGGAGAAGCTGATTTTACTGTATAATTTGTGAACATTTTGAAGTTTGCTGAAGGACTGTGCTGCTGTTATCTCAGCAGTCAACAAGATGTTCAAGTGGTGATAATCCAGAAATCCAAATAAAAAAATATGGGAGCAGTAGTTGACTTAGTGAAACACTTTTTTTATTTTACCTATATGTTTCAGCACAAGGCCACTGAATTACCTTGAGTGTTTGTAGAAGGACAAGAGAGAAGGTGATTTCTCATCTCATTACAGTAACAGACCTGGAGCTATCGGGCTCTAATTGGTTGTGGAGATGGTGATGCTCGGTGTAACCTGACTCCAGAAGAGGACACACTCAAATATGCATGCATCATGGTGTTCAGTGTCACTGGGAGAAAAGCTGGGAGGGTGTAAGGAAACCTCAGGTAGTTAAAGCTAGACGGGCCACAGGGACAGTCCCATGACAACAGAGCAGACTGAGTTACAGCAGAAACAGGGGCAGAGCGTGCACAAAAGCTCAGCCTGGCAAACTTATTTCATTGAGGACAACAATTAAGTCAATAATTAAAAAAATTTAATACTGTCTGCTTTTTTTTACACCTTCAGTATTTTTACTGAAGCATAATAGAGTATTATTCTTTAAGTATAAACTGTGGCTGTTGTTTCTGTCTTGTGGAGCTCTTGGTGTGAAGCATCATTCTGGTCGGTGTGAGCAGTGGCTGTACAGCGCTGCTCACTGCAAGGTTACTTACTGTAGCTCAGGTGAGACGTCCTGTAGGCAAAAGTGCAGAGTCACTCCTCACCACAGAGAAAATCAGTAGCACTAATGAATTTACAAGAATGATGTGTAAAAATATATTTAACGCAGTCATTGTTTTCCCTCTTCCCTCCTTTCCACCCCCCCACCCCCCAGGATTTTTCACACGATGACACCAACCTGGAGTACAATGTGGATGCAGACAAAGGCATCGCCATGGAGGGCTATCTGTTTAAGAGGGCCAGTAATGCCTTCAAGACATGGAATAGGTACAGCAGACACAGATCAATTAGCATTTTTTAAATTCAAGTTACTGGTAAAGAATAATTGGTTGTGGATTTACGAGGGTAAGCACTGTCACCTATATGCATAATAGAGATATGAAAGCAACTGCTTGAAGAGTTAGATAGGGATATTTTTTAACTCATCGTCACAAGAATATAAATGGGCAAGATTTAGAAGGAAGAGGTAAATCATTAGTGGGTAAATTGAATGAAAATTTGAACACACTTCTGTCAGTTCATTCTGGCCCCTTTTGTCTTTTTAAGATGACTCATATACCTCAGGTTGTATTCATCCCCCTGGTTCCAACAAACCTCTAGAAACATGTACAGATGAAAGAAAATAATGAATTATAGTGCTGATAATAAAAAAAATTGCTGAAATTTTTTTCTCCAAAATGTATATATAGCTTTTTAGAATATTATAGTTTGTCTTTAAATACACTGTTCTAACATGAGTTGACACACAGTTGCTCCTGAATCAATTTACTTCATCTACTCCTCAATTCTCTCAAGGTAGCATGTTAACTTATGTACATATCTGGCAGTTGCATGTGACTTTGCTTTTTGTTTTTTAATGAAGTTGTAATTTCCTTTCAGGCGCTGGTTCTCCATCCAAAACAATCAGCTAGTTTACCAGAAGAAATTCAAGGTATGTCACATGGCTGACCGTGTAATCAAATATACATGTGTTTGACTTCCAGCAATATCCTCCCATGTATTTTTAACAGGTAGCTGTAGCCTCACTTAGCAGTAGTAGACTGTTCAAGACAGATGTTTAGTGTAGGACAAATCACAGCTGTAAAGGTGTGTACCTGTGTGGACTTATTTAATACAATTCAGCCTTCTTACATCTCAGGTCGTATTCTTCTTGTTTCCTAAATGCATTAGTCTACATCCCATTCATTGTACATATCACTGTATACACATTTACATTGTATAACACTGAAGAAATAACTGGGTCATATTTTATCTCTTATTGCCAAATCTTTACTACATTTCAAGAGCAGTTGGAAAAAAACAGCTTGAGGCTTTTTTTTAAAGACACAATGCACTTAGTAAGGAAATGTATCAAGACAAAGCTTTTAGTAGTCAAATATTGTTATGATTATTATTATTATTGTTGTACAGTTGGTTAAGTCTCTTATGTCCAGGCAGGGAACGGCATGAAAACACTTACACTTAGTTATTGTTGTGCTTTATATGTTTGTGAGTTTGTGGAGAAATAACCACTGTAAAAGAAGTGAGCAGTACCTTTTACTATGCTGTGTGGAAAAGCTTGGGCAGTTTCTGTGTGTATGTGTGTGTTGTTTAATCAGAGCTGCCTGTGCTGTCTCCTCAGGACAACCCTACAGTGGTGGTGGAAGACCTGAGGCTATGTACAGTCAAACACTGTGAGGACATAGAGCGTCGCTTCTGCTTTGAAGTGGTGTCACCCACCAAGTAAGTTTGAGTCACTGAAACATCCGCCTCTCTGTCTCTAATGAGCACTGCAGTGTGTTAAAAAAAAAAGATGGGAAGGTGGAAGGTGGATCACGTATTCAGCAGACTGCAGTGGTGTGATTTATTTCTGTCCCTAAAGGAGCTGTATGATGCAGGCAGACTCAGAAAAGCTGCGACAGGCCTGGATCAAAGCTGTCCAGATCAGCATCGCCACAGCCTTCCGTGACAAGGGAGATGACAGTGAGGTAAAATCTGAACAGTCGCATTGATTAGATGTCTGAAATGATTCATATAGACAAATAAGTTGTGTAATAGATTAATACAAAGAGACACAAAGTCATTAAACTCTTAAACAACCTCTACATTGAGGTCATATACCTAGTGTGTCACCTTGCAGAAAAAAAGAGAGAAAACCAGGAAGAAATTAAACTATTTCAGGATGTTAATAATGCTGTATTGTCATCCAGCCTTAAGCTTTTACTGTTTCTTTGTTAGATAAACTAGTATTGATATAAATAACACTAACCTGCTTACATAACTTATTTTAACCCACAAGGATAAAGTGTCATGTCATTTCATTTCATCTCATCCTGCCTGAGTAAATCTGGACATCCTTTGTGTATTTCCCCGTCTCTCTCATATCAGAAGCTGGACAGGAAGTCGTCCACGTCAACAGGGAGCCTGGACTCTGGTGGAGAGTCAAAGGAGAGATCTCTAAAAGGAGAGAGTGCCCTGCAGAAGGTCCTGGCCATCCCGGGCAACACCTGCTGCTGTGACTGTGGCCAGCCAGACCCCCGCTGGGCCAGCATCAACCTGGGCATCACCCTCTGTATACAGTGCTCTGGTATTCACAGGTAAAGCACTGGATTCTTACTATATAGGTGTTTTTGTACTGATGTCACAAACAGCTGGACACAAAAATGGCAGCGAAGCAGGACCTGCAGTGATAATGAGCTGTTGAGGATATAAGTAAATAAAATATTCAACTAAATATCAGAGGGAGAATCACAAAGGAAGCTGTTTCATTCATTTATTCAGTCATTAAACACCTTATACAGTGAAGTGTTTCACCTCATTTCGCCTTGATCCGGCTGCGGCCCAGTTCAGATCCGTCCTGTACAGCTTTATCACAGACTAAAGGCTTGTGCCTGTGTTAACAATGCATTCATCCTCACAGGCTGGCTAATTCGTAGTCTGTGTTTCACACATATCTCTTTTGGGGAAAGCGCTACTTGATTGGTGGGTCGAACTTTGTCACGTTTCCCAGATGTGGCATCCGTCAAAAATTGACTCTGTATCTTTAGCAAAGCGGACCAGAGAGTCGCATGTGGGTCGGATCGGAGTTAGGAATGCAGCCGAACCTGGTGGGAACACAACCATTGACTAAACTGGCAGTGACCAACTCCGGGCATTCATGTCACAGATGGAATGCAACGCAGCCGAATCTGGGGGAAATTAGGGGTTTGGACAGTTCAAAGAGGTATATTTTCAGAAGGGAGAAATTTGAGGTACCTAAGAAACTCAAGGAACTACTATCAGCACATTTTATTTACCTAACACTTTGCAGAAATACGGTTCATTTTGATTGTCTTAGTTATGGAAAATGTTTGGGGATTTTTGAAATGTGAACACACTGGTCTGAAGACCCAGCCTGTTTGGGATGTTGCGACATACTTTAGTTACTTGGCAGGGTAAAATATTCAATTATGATTCAGGCCAAGTTTAGTTTATATAAAATTATCTAGGTCAGCCCCCATGCTCTTCATGGAAGGCAGTTCTCACCAGGGAGCTGTGTAAAGCATCTGACTCCACCTTGTGGATAAAACCTAAAATAGTATGTCAGTGTATAAAGAGTCTTCAAGACTTGGCACCTAGTCTTTTAACCCACTGACAATTAAAAACGGTGAGTTATGGTAATATCGTTGTAACTTTTTAATTCCTCCTTCATCTGCAGGAGTTTGGGAGTACATTTCTCCAAGGTTCGATCTTTGACTTTGGACACATGGGAACCAGAACTACTTAAGGTGAGTGAGGAAGAGATAAAACGATGTACCTGATCTGTCCACCTCTAACTGAACTGTTTTCTGATATGCCTGACCATCACTGTAGGTACAACTGTTGCTAAGTTATACTATGTTCCACTGCCTAGTTGATTATTTAGCTAACTAATGTTAGCATTTTTGTTCACAGTTGATGTGTGAACTGGGCAACAGAGTGATCAACCAGATCTATGAGGCGCGGCAAGAAGAGCTAGGAGTCAGAAAACCACAGCCAGGAGACCCGAGGTACAGCACTGGTAGAAAGCACATTTGCACTATAATGTCAGACCAATATTTACCTGTAAGTTCTGTGGGAAAATAAGTGCTTATTTTTTCATTTAATTAGTTTCTTGCTGAATTTGTTTTGTTCTATTCAGTGCTTTTGACGTTTCTGGCACTGTGAAGTCATGACATTATTATAAAAACCGATACATTTTACAGTTTTTATAACCCTCACAATAAATTAGAATATAGGCATTATTGTTTTTATACAGATGTTTTCAACCAGTGGTCCACAGCACCCTGGTGCTCTGTGAAGACATTGCAGGTGGTCCCTGACCATGCATTCAATAATGTAGTTTCACTGTAGGAATCTTTTTTAATTTAGATTTTAAACAAATTTCTGTGTATTACTTATTGTTTTTTAATTGATGTTAACATGTACATATATATATTTATGCAAATATATAACAATTGGAAAAGCGGAGGTGACTTTGAGGATTAAAATAGTGCCCATACGGTCTATCCAGTGGTCCTCCAGTTATCTATTAGTCAGACTGGTGGTGGTGCCTGGGTTACAATTAGTTGAAAACCCCTGTCTTAAGATATAGAAATTTGACTTTGGCCACTCGGTGATAAATTAGTCATCCAGTCTGGTGCTGGTATACACCTTCTACCTTAACCTGTGCCTGGTCTGAGTAGATAAACCGCAGCAAACAATGTATCAGTGGTAGGCTAATGCCTGTCTAACATTTGTCTTCTTATTCAGAAATAAAGTCCTGTGCAGTGCATAAACACAGTATGCAGATACTGATTCTTCTTTATCTACTCATGGCTGGTTTAAAGCCAAGTTTAAAAACCAATTCAGCAATGGAGGCTGCAAATTTGCTTTAGAGGTGTCTCTGTTTTGCCCTCTGCAGCTAGATACATAAGAGGGTCAGAATATTAGGAACACCTCTGAATATAGCAGTCCACTACAACACCACCTTTAACTATGACCTCAATAATAGACATGTAATTGAATTTATACATTTATGACAATTTCACCAAAAAGCAAAGCATTTTGAGCTTCATAGATACAGATTTTAAAGCGGAAGTGTTGCATTGAACTGCATAGAACTGTACAGGTGTACCTACTGTAATAAAGTGGCCGGTGAGCGTATGTTTTCTCTTACATAAAGTACAGTGGAGAGGAGTTGTGTGATGTATGACCCGCACTGGTCTACACCTTACTGTGTGTGCATCCTCAAACAAATGAAACAAACAAATAAAATATTCTCGTTGTATCTGTCAGACATGAGGTAGAGGCGTACATCAAAGCCAAGTACGTGGACCGCCGGTTCATGCGCCGGCCAACAGACGAGGAGCTTCGGAACAAAGTGGTTTCTCTGAGCAAACAGGAGAAGAGGCTGAGCAGCAGCTCTGAGCATCTGACCCCAAGACCACCTCCACACACCCCAAAACTTCGAGCTGGCAGAAACGTCGCCGGACAGACAGGTCAGTACAAAATACAAAACACATCTTTGACCCAATCAGGGTTTTTTTTGGTAACTTTTCACTCATCTCTGAACCTAATGAATAGCACATTGTTTAGAGAAACTCGCTGAAAGGTACGCAGCGTGACCTGGATAGTATGTAGCAATGAATCAAATGATTACCACCAAAGACTGTACTGGATTTTACCTGAATGGGTTTAAGACCGCTCGTTGAAAATCAATACGACCAGTAGTTTGGGACAAGCTGTGGTAAATTTTGAAAGCAGGTTTCGGTATTGATGTGTTCATTAGTTTTTGCCTCTTGAGTTGAGGCCACATTTTCCTCATTTATATGTCAGTTTTAAGTTAGGATCTCAGGTCTAAAATTTTAAATGCTTTTTAACAAATTCTTCTATGAAATGTTAAATTTTCCTCAACTCAAATGACATGGCTAGGAAATGGGCACAGTGGGGTTTCAGAGTTTGGATGTGTCTGTTGTACCGCCCCAACTTGTAGTGCTTTTACACTGTTCACTGCATCAGCAGAGTGAGGCCAGTGTCATCTGTGATTGTGGCCACTTTTTCTTTTGTAAGCTCTGATTTGTGCACTGCCCCGGAGAAGTGTCCACTCATTGGCATACTGTATGTTCCCTGTGAACAGCATATGTCTAAACCCTCTTTGCTTTCCATTGCTTCTCGTAGTCTGTCTCTTCAACGTCAGCCAACTTGGTAGTCTACTGTAACTTATCTGTGCTTTCACCCTGCTTTCCTCTCTCTCCTTTCTCTCAATCTCATTTTTCACAATCTTTCTGTACTTTTCTCTCCTGGCTGCTCTGTGCTTCTGGACTAACCCCCACCCCCAAACCCACCAACACCCTCACCTTGCTACTCAATTTACACCCTTGGCCCTACAATTTCCCAATCACCCCTTGCATAGCTGTTGCCAGTGGCTCAGAGGCCCGCCGCGACTCTCTCTTCTGTCCTGATGAGCTTGACTCGCTCTTCTCCTACTTTGACACCGCATCCAAGCTCAGGAGCAGTAAGTACTAAATGCTTAGAGTTTTGCTCACTTCTCCACCCCCTCTGTCCATCTTTGTTTAATGCTTTGGAGCTGTGGACTAGCAACCCTTCATCCATTCCCCTGTGCTTCCCACATCAAGACTTTCCCAACGGACTGGCCTGTCATGTTTAGACCATGTTTTGTTTTTCTGGGGACTGTTTCTGTCACATATGGTTTTGGTCATTGTCTGGTATTTGTACCTGTCTCATCGTATTTTTGGTATTTAGGGAGCTGAAATATAAGGTGATGGTGGGGATCTCTTATCTACTTCTCTTTCTGTTGAACTCAGCTGGGAACTTGTGTGAACACAGAGTACAAAATATTAGGATTGCCTGCTGGTATTCAGACTGAAAAATACAAATTAACAACAATTTTTCCATTGCATC